CTGTCCATCCCACTACACAAATTTTCAACAACTACTAGAGCTTTGGAATTTTTTGTGATTCACAGATCATTTACAAGTTAATCACTTTATTTTATTTGAACATAAAATCTTCAATTGTGTGTTGCTCTGAAACTTATCCTTCGGATGAAGAATTTATAATTATTACAATGGCTTGACCTAAGCATATATTGGATCACAGAAGGTCCAATATGCAAAGACATTCATGAGAATATTTGTGCCCTAATTTCCATGAATTTATATTGAATTGGGATCTTTTGGATCAACTTTAGCCCAACTTTTCTGAGGGAGCAACCCATTTTTCACCTTGAATTGATCAAAATATGCGGAATTTCTTACTTTTCGTGGAGGATTATATCCAGTAATTGGAGTTCTATGGCTAACCGACATTGCACCATCATTTAGATATTGCAATTCTTCTCCTGGTCAATGCGTATAAAAGATATTTTAGAGGCTCATAATGGCCCATTTACCGGTCAGGGCCATAAAGGCTGATATGAGATCCTAACAACGTCATGACATGCTCAATAGTTGACTTGTTGATCGAAAGAAAAAACTTTTCTTTTACCAATGGGTTGTTGGTTAGATTAGCCCATACCTTTTTTTTTTTTTTTTTTTTCTTTTGGTCAAAACCATATTTCATTTCATTAAAACCCCAAATAGGCAAGTGTACAAAGCACAAACCAATGACACAATAGAATCGTAACATGACCGAGAAAGAACATCTAAACTCAAACCAAGTCTAGAACAAAGTTTGCACACCTAGCACAATAACAAAAAAAACTCAAAAGACACACATAGTTCAGAGGCCCACCCCAAATACAATCAGAGCCCAAAAATAAGCATACAGCCTACTTCACACCAAAAACTAGAATTTTGCAAACCCTAGTCTAAGCACACAAAAACTGCTGCTGATGACAAAAGAACAGGGAGCACACCACCTAGGTTGAAAGTGAAAGGAGACATCACCACCGCACAAAACAGCATAGCTGCACACAAAAGACCCACAAATCTACCACCAAGACCATAAGTTCCCTAAACCACAAAGCCATATCAACTTAATGACATCCACCCTTGAATCACCAACTCCACCAAGCTTGAACTCGCCTATGCCCCACAGAGAATGCAGCAACCAATCAAAGCAAGACCAAAGCAAATGAAAACCCGAAGCCCAAAGAATCAAGAGAGTAAAAGGTGGTGGTGCAAGCACCAGAGCAAGAGCTCTATATACCTTCCGATGGGGACATAGAGATTGCATTTTGGATTAGCTTCTACAACCCACAGGAGAGGCTAGATCGAAGAGAAAGAAAAGGAATCCAAGGGGTGGATGGAAGATGCTTGGACAAAATTTGATTTAGAGAAAGGTTGATGGAGAATTAGGGACACATAATTAAAATAAGACATATAGTCTCAGATCCACCCACAAGAGTGGAAAACAATCACCAAAGAAAGCAAAGAGAGAGGAAATGGTGAGAATGGTGGAGGATGTTGAGAATGGTAGAGGGAAGAGAGATGAGAGATGAGAGGGTTGAGAGGATAGTAGAGAGGAAAGGAGAGGGGAGGAGAGGCAGTGACCTCCTCTTCCCCCTTGTTGAGAAAGGTCCGGCTGGGTTTTCTA